TTTTAGATTTTTGCCTAAGTTTTGTAATAATCTAAGTAATGTATGTGAGAGGGAAAAGACATTGTAATTATTACTCCAAAACTGTTCCCTCAATGACAGGCTGCTGTTGACTCAGTAGTTACCCACCCACCCACCCACCCACCTACCCACCCACACACTATGTTTTGTAACTCATGGACACATCACTGAAGAACTATTTTATTTTGGTTTTAGAGACAGTTTCTTGTTAAATAGCTCTGTAAACCAGGCTGGCCTTGAACTCAGATATCCACCTGCTTCTGCCTCTTAAATGCTGGGACTAAAGGCATGTACCACCACTGCCAGGCACTATTTTAAGAGTCCTGTGTTGTGTGTGGTCCTCCTCCCCCCATCAGTCAAATAGTTCCTGATATTTCAAAGCAGTTCACCAAGACCAAGGACTCTCTTTCTTTTATACTTAACCACATATCACAGAAACATGAACTTTTGTCAGGTACATATTTTCTTTGGCCTTTGGTTTTGGGACTTGAGCACAGAAAACCTTGCATATGCTCAGTAGGTGCTAGACCACTGGGCTACACTCCCAGTCCCCAAATGATTCATCAACAATAAACAATTCAGTCTTTAGGCTGATGCTGATTAAATGGCTATCATTTTCCAAAATGAAATTCTTGAATGATTTCATGGAGTATATGAGTATGAGTATAATTTTTTACTTTTTGTGAGTGTGCAGTTTCCACTTACCCCACCAAGATCCTTTATGTCCTTTTGTAGTTTTTCACATATGGTGATGGAAGGCAAGTCAAGGTAAAATACTTTTCCACAAAGAGGCTTATATTTGGATTTTTCCAACCTATTATCAGTTTTCAGGGATTTCAAAGACGATCTGTTCTTTTCGTTTTTGTCCTGGATGCCACCTGTGATTACAAAAAGAATCAGGTAAAACTTTATACAGACCAAAATTTAACTGCTTAGGAAATATTTGAAGACCTTACCACAGAAAGGAAAAATTGTTAGTCATACCAACTTTAGTTGGATTCTAAACTTAGGATGAAGGCAAATTGCCTTGTATGTTTCCAAATTCTGCACTGCAGAACAAGAGCTGAAACGGCAGGAAGTGGCCCATTATTTATCCCTGTTCATGTATGAAGGCAGGGAACCCTATAAAGCATTCCTGAAAACCCCATTTTCTCAGCATCTAAACTTCATGTGGGTATTGACTCCAGTTATTTATTGATGTCAACTGGGAAAACAACAGGGTTACTTACTATGTGCTACAATCAGGGTTTCATAGTTTTGTCCACTACTAAAACAGAACTAAATGATCTAATCCACACACTTAATGATCTAGTCCACACACTTTGTTTACACACCAAGAACTCAGACCCACTAAGGACGCCGACACTCACCTCCTTTTATTTTTAAAAGTGGATGGGAATCAAGCAAACTTCCCAAAACTTTTCAAACACAACCTGCATTGTAGAGTACCTGGTTAACAGACACACACATATCTCTTAGGAAAACTTTTTAACCATGAATTTTTATTTTTAGACGACACAGTGCAACTGGAATAGAAGTGTTTTTGTGTGTCTTCACGTGTCTATGGGGTTGAAATGAACACGGCGTGTCCCCCACCCCTCCCCCGCGCGCGCGCACACACACACTCACACTCACGCACGCAGTGGGGGCCTCGGCGGGGCCGTCGGGGACCCGCGCATTGTCTAAAGGTTGCAGCCCGGGAATGCGGGGTCGCAGCCGCGGCCGGGAGAGCACGAGGGGCCCGGCCCGCGCCGTCCCCTCCGGGAGACCGAACGCCCTCAGGGCGCCGAGAGCCCACCCAAGTGCAAAAGCAGCCGAGGCCCCCGCGGGCAGGCTCCCCGGGCAGCCGCCGCGGGACCGGCAGAGCAGGGAAGGCTTAAAGGGCCGGCGGGGGAGGGGCTCCATACCCGGGAGAGGTGCTTTGCCGTGGATCCTCATGGTCTCGAGGTTCATGGCAGCCACCCGGCACCTACATGCTGAGTCCGCACCGGGTGCCGCGTGTGGCGGCCGCGAACACAAAGCTCCAAGGAAGGCCCGCCCGCCCCGGCGAGCTCAGGACCGGTTCCGGCGCCGGGCCTCGGAGCAGGAAGGGGCTGCAGCACGGACGTGTGAGGCGCGGCGGTTAAAGATTTGAAATCGCGTCACGCGACCGCCGCGCCCAGGCGCGCTCCCCGCCCTCCCTACGCCGGGCCGGCCTCGCGCAAGCTCCACCTGCCGGGCCTCGCGCGCCGCGGGCGGCCCCGCCCCTGGCCGTGACTCCGCCCCCGCCCGGCCGTGACTCCGCCCCGCCCCGCCTCTGCGCGCCAGCCTGACTGTCTCCGACCCCGGTTGGCCCGCGTCCCCTTCGAGTTCCGGCGCCGCGCTGCAGACTCGGGAGTGGGGAGGGCGGCAGCCCCGGCCGTGAGTGCGCCTAGCCTCGCAGGCCTTATGGCCTTCATCACCTGCTAGGCTTGCTGCGACCCCCGCCTTTCAGACGCCTCGCCACCAGGTACGCCACTGAGCCGCGTGCGGGACGCGGGGCGGGCTCCGCGCTGGCTCCCGCCGACCTGCAGACAGGCCGCAGAGGACCTGGGTGGCCAGGGTGGCGGCCGCGCGGGGGTTCACTCCTCGGACCCGACACGACCCGACCATCGCTGCGCTTCAAGACGAAATTGAGACGTTTGTGATTTGTTTTAATTTTGCTTTATAGATGAGAAAATGCCTCACAAAACTAGTTTTGAGTATACCTCTGCTTGCTCACCCTTACACACGTTATATTTTGTACTGTGTTGCATTTCTTAACTCCTGGCTATAATTGACATTCCTTACAGTATTGATTTTTGATGTAGTACCTTAGACCAGTCAGTGCAAATAAGAATATTGAAGCCCATACAAGTGAATTTTGAGATTGCTAGCCAAAAACAGGACACCAAGATGGATAAGGATAGCTAAAGGAAATGTGGTTTTTTGTTTGTTTCGTTTTTTGAACAGGGTGGATTTTGGAGCAGCAATCACGGAACTTTGTTAAACTGTTTATTAGACAGTTGGAGATATTTGTATTCACAAGGAAAGTGTGGGAGCAAGCCAGGAAGGGAGCATACACATTAAGAGGCATTGTGCTGATGGATTTGAGTTTACACACAACGTGCATAACAGATCTTGAGAAGGACAAAACTCAATTTTCAAAATGCAAGCTACATTAAGAACACGGAATTTTTGTGACATGGTTAAATGCTTGTGAAATGGTTTGAATGTTTGAGGAACATTAATTCAGACTAGAACTGAAGCACGAGGGAGGGTTGGAATGCCCTGAAGTGAATAGAGCCAGTGAGAAACAGAATCTGGGATAGTCAGAGGGTAAGGAAATAAGCGGGGAGAGAGGGAGGCCAAGCAGCTGAAAGAACTGGGAACAAAACTAGGAAGTCAAGGGGTTTCCTCACAGAACTGAGGTGGTTCCAGCCTCAACAACCCATAGGAATTAGATCATTTTGAGGCTCAGTTTTAGTGTGTGAAAAGGGGGCAATAGTTCTTAGCTGTTGTGGGAGTTAGGTGGAATGTTCTTGAAAGCACAGTATAGTACCAGGCACAGTAAGAGTTCTTTATTTGCTGTCATTTTGATGAGCCTTGCACAACTTCTCTGTTCCCAAGACATTTATTTCAAAACAGCCAAAACTTGAAACGTAGATCTTTGGTTTTCATGTGTCATTCATTTCCTTAATGACAGTTTGATGATGATATAGGTAAGTACAATTTGGATGGTAATACAGCTAAACGCTGAAGCGCTGAAGTCACAGGTTGAACAAACTTAAAAAAAAAAAAAAACAGTAAATGCACTTGTGAAAGGTGAATTATATTTCTTCTGAGACAGGGCAGTGAAAGAGTTGAACCTGTTAGACTTGCCTTTCTGTGTTACATAAGTGATAATTGCAAGCTATGAATAAGCCAAAAAAAAAAATCTACTCACCATGTAGTTCACCATGTAGTTAGTAGTTTTTCAGTCTACCATTCAGTGACATTTTTAAAAAATGTTACTGAAATCCAAATATTAAGAGTAGCCGCAGGAAGAAGGACTTGGTCATAGACAGAGAGTGTAGGAAGACTACAAGAAGATGTATGAGTAGGAGATTATATCAGAATGTCTTGCCATTGAGAATTTGCAACCTAAGTATAAGAAATTGTTTAAGAATATTATATACTCTGTAAAGCATTAAAGTGATAGAAAGTTATCATAGTGTTTGTGTTATATTCATAGCAGTGTACTAAGCATAAATAGTATTTACTATTTTTTTAAAATAGCATGTTTACATATAGCAATGTCTAAATGTGTTTATATGTATGTGTACATATATGTATATATGCCTTCTAAAACATAATAAATATTGCCTGCCTCATGAAGTTTTTATGAGATACTGATTAAGGCTGTGTGTTTTTATTTTATAGCTATGCAACAACAATTGGCATGCAATAAAAATTGTGCTATATTGAATGTTTTTTTATTCTAGAATAGAGTAGGGATCTAAGTAATGCTTATCTGTAAACATACTGATTTTGTAAATTCTTGTTGGTTTGCTGCTTTTAGTCAGAGGATGTTTCCTTACATGTTGGTTACCTGTTCTGCAAACTTAATGCTATTCATGCAGCTTGGCCAAACACATTCTTACCAGAGGTTGCCGTGTGCTATTAATGGTAGTTATATACTAACTTTCATTTATGACTTACTTTTGGCAGTAATAAAAACATGTGCTTTGATATATAAATTTTATTCTGTTTTATTTTGTTTCATTTTTGCAGTGCTAAGGATCAAACCAAAGACTTGAACATGTTAGGCAAGCACCCTTGATTATTGCTTTATAGTTTAGCAGGTAATTTTTAAGATTTTTTTTCACCAAATCTTATTACGTATTCTATATATTGTATGTATTTTTTATGTGTGTGTGTGTGTGTGTGTGTGCACATACACTACTTTATCTTTTGTTTCAACAGATATATTTTCAACTAGTTAAAAATAATGGAGCCTGAAACCGAGGGGCCACCACCAACAATCCATGTAACACCTCTTCAGCAAATGGTTGCCTCTTGTACTGGAGCTATATTGACATCAATGATGGGTAAAATTATGTTACAGATTATGTAACTTTGAATATTCCATTAGAGTTTATCATCTGTGAAATAATGACACTATTTTTGAGGGGTATATGTATATATACATATTTATTGTTTATGTGTGTGCCTGTGGCAGCCAGAAGTCAATGTCAGCATCTTCTGTTGCTCTTTCCCTTATTTGTGTGTGTGTGTGTGTCTGTGTGTGTGCCTGTGTGTGTGCACGCGCGCATACCTATGTATGCAAGTGTTTGTAGAGACCAGAGATTGATACTGGATGTCTTCTTCAATCCTTCTCCACTTTATTTTTTGAAACAGCTTCTCACTGAACCCAGAGCTTAATGAGTGGCTAGCAAGCCTCAATGATCCTCCTATCTTTGCCACCCCAGTGCTGCTGGGCCCAATGTTTAACATGGATGTGGGGCAGGCATGCTTTACTGAGTCATCTCTAATATTGATATTATACCATATCTAGAATGCGAGTATTTCTTCAGCACAATAATGTGAAAAGAACAGGAAATGAAGAGATTTGCAGTTCCTGTCCTGGCTTATTCACTCACAGGTCACCGCTACAGTTGGGGACAATACCTGTTTTTCTGAGGTTTTCTTTTTATTGAAAATAAGGAGTTTCAGCTGGGTGTGCTGGCACATGCCTTTAATCCCAAGATTTGGGAAGCAAAGGCATGTGGATCTTTAGAGAGCAGCCTGGTATACGTAAGAGTCCAGAACAACCAGGGCTACATAATAGACTCTCTCAAACAAAGAAAAAGAAAAGAGGAAGAAAATTGGCTTTAAAATAAGTTATTAGAGGTCCCTATCAACATAATTAAACTTACAGTTCCTTTATTTGCACAAGGAATAATACCATTTTGGGCAACTTAGGAGTTTAAGTTTCTAATGATTATTTTTTTATGTTTCATATAGTGCATTTCGTACAGACTCGGCCAAATGGCACAGATGATATGATAACATTTGAATGATTTTAAGTTGACTAGTTTCTTTAACTAAGATAATAAGTGATTAGAACATATAAACCAATTGCTTTGTCGTGCATCTTTAGGTCAGAATCCAAGTTCATAATGACTGTACATTTTACCTAATGTGACTTTCTTGTTTTTTGATGAGGAATAGTTCTTTTGAAACCACAGTCTGGTACTTTTTTTTCTTATTTTTATGAAATAGAGCATGCAAATGAAAATAAGATGCAAATTTTCTTTGTTCCCAAATGGATGGCATAACATAATGTTGACGATGATTTATGGCTATCCTAACCCAAATTTCATTCCTACAGGTTTATCTGATGCAGATAAATTGATCAGATTGGGAAGATTAGCACTGTCTATTTTAGTTACTTGTAACTTGTTATTATAGTTTAGCAGGTTGTTTTGAAGATATTTTTCACTAAACTTTGTTACATGTATGTATTATATATGTGTGTATGTACATATTTTTATCTTTAATAGATTTTTTTTTCAACTAGTTAAAGCCTGAAACTGAGGGGCCACCACACTGCTTTAAAGAATATATTTTCTAAAATTGTAGTGCTTTAGTTTTAACACTAATGGGATTGTAGTTGCAGATAGAAATGACCCGTACTTGTGAGAAGTGATTGGCAGTCTGTCTTCACTAGCAGAGAACTATGTTTAGGAGCAGTAGACCCCCTCTTCCCCCCAGTGGTAGGATACACATTCAGTGCTGTTTTTACATAAACAGCTTATTCATTGCATAGAAATGAGGAAAAATATGAGTTGATGTATAGTTTTTAAATGGCCATATACATGTTAGAGATTTAGAGATATCTCATCTTAATTAAAATTTATATATTCATAGTGACACCACTGGATGTTGTTAAAATTCGACTGCAAGCCCAGAAAAACCCATTCCCCAAAGGTATGTATTTGAATACCTTGACAGTATTGTTAGACTTTTTAAAATGTTACTGTACTCATTTTTATTTGTATAGTGTTTTTGTTAATTTATTAGAATTGATGCCTTATCTAGAAATATTTTTTTTCACCTTTTAATTGTACCCAATGAGGTATAGGCAGGAAAAAAAATATGTATGGTATCTATCCCTGTTTATCGTATATAAATACATCTATCCATCTATATCTTAATATTTTTATGGATTATCTTATTGAAGTAGAGAGTGACTATATGTGAGTATATACTTCTTTCTGTCTTTCTTTAAAGAAGAAAAGGTTTCAAGGAGATAATAGCAAAACACAACAAGATAAAACAAACCATCATATCAAACCATAAACAAAACCATCATATCAAAGTTGGACAGAGCAAACAGAAAGAAAAGATCCCCAGGAGAAGGCACAAGAACCAGAGGCCCACTCACACACTCAGGGGTCCCATAAAAATAATATAAATACAAAGGAAGATCTGAGCTGGCTCTCTACATTCTGTTTCTTCTGTTGGGGGATGTTAAATGGTTTCCAATTTCTGGCTTTTATGAATCAGGGAACATGGTTGATTAAGTGTTCCTGTGGTAGGATGATGTGTGCTTTGGGTATATGCCAAGAGAGTATAGCTAGATCTTGGGAGTAAGCTGATTCCTGTTTTCCCGAGAAACCACCACACTGATTCCCATAGTATCTGTACAAGTTTATACTTCCACCAGCAGTGGAGGAATGTTCCCCTTACTCTACATCCTTGCCACTTGTTATTGATCTTAGCCATTCTGTCAGATGCAAGATGAAATCTCAAAGTAGTTTTGAGTTGCACTTCCCTGATGACTGAGGATGTTGAACATTTCTTTTAAGTATTTTAATGAGGTTATCAGTTTTCTTGATCTCAGCCATGAGATTATTTCTTGCTGTCTATTCTTTTGGGGTTTGATTACTTCTTTTTGTTGTAGAGGTTTCAGGTATGCTGTTAAGTTACTAATATGAGGTCTTAGGTTTCAGTTTTCTTGTATATCTGTTAAGACTGGCTTTGTGTTCAAGTATGTTCCAATTTGGGGGAAAATTCCTCAAGGTACAGAGAAGGAGATATATTCCTATGTGTTTGGAACAAATGTTTTGTAATATCTGTTAGGCCCATTTAGATTATAACAACAGTTAGCTCCAACATTTCTCTGTTTTTAGTTTTTGTCTGGATGACCTGTCTATTGGTGAGAGTGGGGTGTTGATGTCTTCCACTATCACTGTGTGAGGGTCAGTATGTGATTTAAGCTGTAGTGGTGTTTCTTTTATGAACATAGATGCTTTTGTGTTTGGGGCATAGATGTGAAGATGAAAATGTCCTTTTGGTGGATTTTTCCTTTGAGTATGTAGTATCCTTCCCTATTCAATTTGGTTAGTTTTTGGTTTGAAATCTATTTTGTCAGATATTAAAATGGCTATACCAGTTTGTTTCTTAGATCCATCTGCTTGGAATTCTTTTCCCTGAGTTGATGTCTGTTTTTGATGTTAAGGTGTGTTTCTTTTATGCAGCAAAATGATGGGTTGTGTGGTGCTTCACCTCTTGATTTGCTGGTCTGGGATTATTTATTCCTTGTGTTTTGGGGAGTGGTTAACCTCTTTAAATTGGAGCACTTTCTATAGGGCTGGATTTGTAGACAGATATTGCTTAAATTTAGTTTTATCGTGGAATGTCTTATTTCTCCATTTATTGCTCTTGAAAGTTTTTGCTGGATATAATAGCGTGGCCTTGCATCTGTGCCCTCTTAAGAGTCTGTAGAACATTTGTCCAGGCCTTTCTGGCATTTAGAGCCTCTATTGAGAAGTGTTATTTTAGTAGGTATGCTTTTATTTATTACTTGTTTCTTGCAGCTTTTAATATTTTTTTATTCCATACACTTTGTGTTCCAGAGAAAGCCTGCTAGCATTGGGTCTGAAATAACAGGATAAGTGGGGAGGAAGGTTGGAGGAGAACTTCCTGATCAAATGGACATGGGGCAGAAAGGAGGGGGAGACCACAGCAGGTGTCTGCTACAGAGATGAGAGTGAGACTGGGGGACTGGATTTGGGGAAGAGAAGGGAGAGATGAAGGTCTGCAGTTAGCCTACCTGTTTTTCTCAGTTATTTTATAATGCAGGAGTGTTCATTATATGACTGTATGGAATTTGATAAAAGTAATTCTATATTTTATCAGACAAAAAGAATACCAATTCTATAATCAACCTTTGAAAATGTTATAAAGGTAGTACATCAAATAGCAAAAGTTGACTGGGCTGTGATAAATTGCCGTATTTGAATGCTCCCTCTAAGAATGTAACTAGCTCAATGCGTGCATTGCTTTCCTAGCATATATGATGCCTAGTTCTTGTCTCGGCATCAATATGAAGGGGACAACAATAATAATAATAACAATAAAAATAATGATATTTAAAAAGATAGGTTTCTTGTTGAATATATAGAAACAGGTGAAATGAACAATCATATTTCAGATAAGGGTAGGTGAATAGTAAAAAAGAGACTAAATGATTATCTTTGCACATTAAAGTTGTGGGAGTAGAAGTACATTGTGATATAGAGTTGCATGTCATTGAACAAAGAAGACGATCCTGTCAGCAAGTGTGACTCCATTAGGACAAGTTGTGGTAAGTTAGGTAGAGCTGACAGCTTGCTAGACAGCAGTACAAACAGAAAAGACAAGCATTGCACTACTTATGTTAGTAACATTTGTTCTGCTCATTTTCACAGGAATTTCCCTTGTGTGCAAGAGTTGACATGCAAACATGGTTTTCTTTTTGTCTTCCATCTCCCATCCCTTAAGTAACCTAAAAAATACTGCTGTGAACTTTTTTTTAAAGCCACAGTTCTGAATATATAAAACCCACTAATTCGTGTTGTCACTTGTCACAGTGTGAGTTTAGGGACCAGGGCTGACTTACCTTAAGTAAATTAAGCTAATTATATGTGTTCCATCCTAGAATTTCTCTTTCCAAACTTTTCTAGTCTCGCCGTACTTGCAGTTTATCTGTAAAAATGATATCATTATATGAAATAACTACTGGTTATTGGACTCTTCTTTATTAGGAAAGTGTTTTGTGTACAGTAACGGACTCATGGATCATATGTGTGTCTGTGAAGATGGGAACAAGAAAGCATGGTATAAGAAGCCAGGAAATTTCCAGGGAACATTGGTAAAGAGATGCTTTTATTTGGAATCTTTGTATGTTTTCTGTTCTTATATTTATTCTTATTTATGACTTTCTAATTATAAGGAAATTAAAAGTTCAAAATACCAAATCATGGTAAAGAAAAGTGTTTCTTTCATGTATAACTTGTTAACTTTAATTTGTTCATCTTGTTTACATAGGAAGAAAAGGTAGCTTTTTAAAGTTATTTTTAAGTTTTTTGAGAATTGTAGCTGTTCCTTATTTTTGAAAATACAAACAGACTCATGCGTGTGTGTCCTGTATCCTGGGCGTATTAACATTAATGCACTTCTAAAGAGAGCATTCAGAGGCCTTTCTTGTTTCCTTTGAAGAACAGTATGCATTTGCTTTGTGCTCTCAGCCACTCTGTAATCCCTGGCAACTTCTAATCCGTTTCTAATTTTAAAAACTTTGTCACATGAAACATGCTATATAAATGGAATCATGGCATATGCTGCCTTTAGGGGTTGGCATTTTTACTTCACATAATAGCCTGGAGATTCATCCACGCTGTTGTTGAATCCCTTATTTGCTTCTGGTTTATTGTCCAATAGTTTGGTGTAGATGTGCCACATTTCCACTCAGGGTTGTTTGAAGTTCTCAGTTATTGAGAATAAAAGCTGCTACATTCATTTTGTTTGTCATGGGGGCAGGGGGTATGTTATGTGTGATAAAGTTATTTAATATATGTAAGATTTTTTTTTTAACAGGAATTATATTACACTTCTATCCCAGCTAGGGTAAAATGACATCTTTACTGTGTTGGGTTTTGCAGTGAATTTTGTTTTGTTTTGGATTTTGAAAATAGTGTCTCTCTTTATAACCCTGGCTGGTCTGGAACTTCATATGCAGACCAAGCTGGCCTTGAACCCATAGAGCTCTGTCTTCCTCTGGTTCCATCCCTCTCTCCAGGGAGGTTTCATTATGCTTCCTTGGGTGGCCTTGGGTTTTCCATCTTTCTGCACAGATAAATGGGTTCCCAGCATTGCTGGACCAAACCTGCCTTTTTTTTTTTTTTTTTTTTTTTCCAGTCTTCCTGGTGTGTTTGAAGTGGCCCTGCATTTCACTTCCACAGTGATTAATGATGCCAGGCGTATATCCCACAGAGGTGTTTCTGTTCTATCTTTTGACACTTCTTAAGTTTTTATTATTAAGTTGTCTGCTCGTAATAGGCTTTGCTTTAGTTTCTGACTGCTGTTGATTCCTCTCTAGATACTTCAAAAAGTGGTGTTTAATGACAGCGTCTCAGATTTCATACTTAGGAGAGGTTCTGTGATCAATTTTGTACTTCCTTTTTATAGTAACCTTATAAAAAATTTTATTTAAAAATTTTAAATGTATATATGTGTGTGTGAATCTGTGCCCACATGTGTGTGAGTACCCACGGAGGCCAAAAGAGAGCATCAGATCCCCTTGGAGCCACCTCATGTGGGTGTAAGGATCTGAACTCAGGTCCTCTGGAAGAACAATCTTAACTGCTAAGCTATCTCTCCAGCCACTCAAAAGCTTGTTCGATAAAAACAATGTGAAACAAGTTTAAAAAAAAAAAAAAAAAAATGCCAGAAAAAGTAATGGAAACTTCATTCTGTAAGAATACATTACACCTTATGTGTATGAAATTGACTCTTATTTCTAAGAATGGGCATCTTTAAGTACAAGAAACTTTTATTTTAGAAATGGATGTTTAAGATATTCAAATTACAAGTTATCATTATGAATTTTTACCTGATTTAAAAATGCATTTTGTTTACCTTTCTATTTTAATTTTAGGATGCCTTTTTAAAAATTCTTCGAAATGAGGGCATTAAATCACTATGGAGTGGCCTCCCTCCTACTCTGTAAGTTGAAGCTATGTTTTTTTCTACTAAGCATGTTTGAAATGAGCGTGGTTGAACAAAGTCTTGCGTTTGAATATTAGGATTCTTTTCCTTCCTGAAGTTTGTTTTATGAGTTTCACAGCTGTACATTTGATGTTCTAGAAAGACTCATGGAAGCCAGGGAAGGTTATATTCATGTGTATGGTTCTTTCCAGTTACAGCATACCAAGTATAGTTGGTGAGGAAAAGGACCCATTAAGTGACCACTTGTCACTTTCTAAAATTCTTTTCCTGGTGTAGCACAAGATGTACTTACTCTGGTAACATGTAACTGCGGTGTGTGATGTGTTTCAGAATGCACAGTTGCTGTTACGTGTTGGCTACATGGAGCATTCTGTCTGCTGTAGTTGGAGGTTTTTCTCCTCCCTCCAGTTCCTAAATAACCACTCTAAGGTATAATATTAATTATAATTGTTTGGCCAATGACTCAGACTTCTTACTGGCTAGCTCTACATATAAATTAACTCATTTCTGATAGTTTATATTTTACCACAAAGGCTTGTGGCTTGTTACCAAACATATTGCTTTCCTGGTGGCTACATGGAATCCCCCTTCCTTCTCTCCATAACTCTGTTTGGATTTCCTGCCTGGCCATTGGCCAAAAGAGCTTTATTCATCATCTAGTAAAAGCAACACATATTTGCAGCATACAGAAGCATCCCACATCATTTTGCAACTGAAAAAAATGCCACCTTTTACATAATTGGTCCAAATTAATTGTTGAAGAGCTTTAGAGACACCTAAAGTACTATTCTCAAGAACATTCTGGTGGCTAAAGGTTAGCATACAAATAGGCTCTCATGGAAAAAATCATAGAAAACTTAAGCAGGCAAACCCTCTGTGTTAAGTTTTTGCTGTCCATGCTGTTTTGTTTTGTTTTTTTTTAAAAATAATTTGGTGTTTTTGTTGTACTGAAACTGTTAGATATGTTGAGTATTTTTTATATCCAATTATAGTTCTCTATTAAGTATGGACTTGTGAATGAATATGGGAAACTCAAAAAGCTGATTGTGAAAACTCTAGCAGATTTTTGGCTTCCTCTGCTTCGCTGCTTTGTCTTTTTTTTTTTTTTTTTTTTTTTTTGGTATGGAGGGGATTATTTAGTCTTGAGTCATATTTGAGGCATACATTTTCATGCCTAAAATAATACAGCTCTGGGACCACTATTCAGTCCTATTTCTAAATTCTTAGCATTGGACATCTCTATAAAGTATAAGCATTCCAAGCTATGGTCTGTCACTGAGACTGTTGTGATATATCATAAATGCAAAATGATTTCTTGTTGTATTAATCTGGATGACATACAGGTGCCTGAAATTTCTATTTGAGCTTAATAATACACTTCTATATTTTCATTTAAAATGTTGTCAGAATTTCCTTAGAAGTAACATATATAATCCTGGCAGTGTAATATTATCTACTTATAAGCTGCTGTGATATATGATCTGTGATTTAAAACTAAGCATAATTACGGTTGGGAAGATGGCTCAAATGGTGGTAGAGTGCTTTTCAGGGAAGCCTGAGGACCTCAGTGTGACACCAGCACTTACTGATGTCCAGCATATTGGTGCGCATCTGTAGTCCTACCACTAGGGAGGTGGAGACAGATTATTCCTGCTGCTTGTGGGCTGATCAGTGAGCTTGAGGTTCAGTGAAAGACCCTATCCCAAAAAGGTAGGATGGAAAGCAGCTGAGTAAGACATCCAACTCTGACCATGTCTCTTTGTGCGTGCATATACACGAACCTGTCCAAGTACATATACATGCAGATATGCACACAAGCACGTTTCTCTCATGGGGTAATTATACTTTTTAGTTTATCCCATATAAAAATGAGTAATATATGAACTTAACAGTATAGCTGAGGCCTTTTGATAATTCTGAGCATATTTTGTGTATGTTTCTAACAGAGTGATGGCAATTCCTGCCACTGTTATTTATTTTACCTGCTATGAACAATTAAGTGCTTATTTGAAAGCTAAATTAGGAGAAAATGAAACCCGAATACCAATAGTTGCTGGGATTGTTTCCAGATGTAAGTAATGAGCTTATTGTTATTTTGATTTCTCCTTAGAACATCTATTTAGATTCTGATATTTGCAGAGATTCTGTTTAATGTACAGAATTGTGTTATGATGTATTTTGCATCCTAGTTTGTATTAATTGTTGTTATCTCTACTCCAGGTGATAGCCATGAGAATGAGATAGGATTATCTCATTTTCATTGACTCTTAGATAGTTATTAAGAGTGATGTTAGAATTGATTCTTAATTCACCTAAATTTCCGGTATATTTGGGTCCATGCATGACTCAGGCCAAAGCTTTAATTGCGTTTCTTATAAACCCTAGGATTCAGAGCTTAGTCAGAAGGAAGATGGTGTCTGTGGACAAGTCTCTGTTAAATGGACTTGTGCTGGGCATGGTGATATGATTTTAATCCCAATACCTGGGAGACAGAGGCAGGTGATCTCTGAAGGCCTGGGTCTATAAAGAGATTTCTCTATCAGCCAGAGCTACATAGTGAGACCCGTCATCAAAAAAAAAAAAAAAAAAAAAAAAAAAAAAGAGGAGGAGAAGTAGTTGTTGTTTATGTGGGAGTACTAACTGGGATTTTTAGAGGTTCTGTGGTTGACTCCAGAATTGCTAGTGTTACCCTTGAAAGACCTGAGAGGAAGAAAAAGGTATGTGTCTATTTTGACATAGTTATCATGAGGGAAAAAAATACCTTTTAATCTCATTAACTATTCTCTGTTAATCTTTATGGACATTAAGAGTGACTGAGGATAGCATAGACACATGAAATATTAATGTAGGAAGGTAGAGTACTGGGGGCAGAAGGATGCAGGGAGAAAAGGGTCCACGTGGAGGTGGGGGCAGGAAACAGAAGTCAACCAAAAAAAATATATTTATAAATGCCACAAGGAACCTTTTACTTTGTCAACTAATTAATTTTTTTAAAAATACAAAACCTGGTAGGAGAGTTTTCCCAGGGTGAAGCTTGCTCATTGTACTCCTCGTGTGCTGAACCCTGCAAGGTCCCCAAATGCAGGAAACTTTAGGGCATAATTTGTGATAGTGAGGGAGGGCATTAGAACAACAAAATAAATGTTAATGTTGGCTCCCATCATATATGCTTTAATTTTTCTGTTCTCCTGTTTGTACTAGTTGGTGCAGTAACAGTGATAAGCCCATTAGAGTTGATCAGAACTAAGATGCAGTCCAAGAAGTTTTCTTATAAGGAACTACATCGATTTGTGAGCATGAAAGTGTCTGAAGATGGTTGGATTTCCCTTTGGAAGGGCTGGGCTCCTACAATTCTTAGAGATGTGCCTTTCTCAGGTGGGATTTGTCTTTGTTGCAGTTAAATTTAGATCTTTGTCTTAGGTCATGTATTAATTTTACTAGGTTTTAAACTCTTTATTGCTAAAAATAAATTTTTCTGTACTAACCACAGATTGTAGTTCATTATTCGAATTTGAGATTTGTCCAAGCCTTTCTTGATTGAACAGTTTCTAACTCAGGTCCTTGTGTTTTCTTCTTGTGTCTAATTGCTGCTAAGTATCCACTGGTACATATTCATACTCAGATAATACAAACTACCTTAACAATATCCTAAATAAGTCATAATAAGGCAAATAAAATATAAATCAAAATATTGTAAAATATCCTTAAGATCATCTTTAACTGAACTTAATTCTTAATTTTTCAGTAATTAAAAATAAACATAAAAGACATTATACGTCAAGTAGGTTCACTTATACTATATAGAGACATAGAGTAAGTAATTAGTCCTAGCCTTCTATGCCAGTTTACTTTTAGAAATATGTTTTGGGGGCTGGAGAGATGGCTCAGCATTTAAGAGCATTGACTACTCTTCCAGAGGACCCAGGTTCAATTCCCAGCACCCACAGTGCAGGTCACAACTGTGTGTAACTCCAGTCCCAGTAGATTTTGACTCCCTCACACAGACAGGAAGGTCAAACACCAATGCATATAAAAATTTTTAAAAAAATTGAAAAAAGAAAGAGAATGTGTTAAAAATATATTCTGTTATATAAAATGAAACACAGATGTATGCTTATGAAATGAACACCTGTGAATTTACCATGTCACTATTTGAGCTTGACTGTTCAGTGTGTTAAACCATGAAGTAAGTCATTTATATGCCCTTTTACTGATGCCTGACATCATAACCCCAGTGGTATCCTCCATACTAGCTTTTAGAAACAGGAGGTTCTCTCCTCCAACCATGCAGACTCTGGACTTCACACCCATGTTGTCAAACAAAGCAGCAAGTGCTCCTACCCTCTAAGCCACCACATTGACCCCCATCCTGGATTTTTGTCATCTGTTGATGATAAAATATTTTCCAATGAATAAACACTAATTTTTCTAAATATATTTTGAGCTTTTTTTTTTTGTAGATAATCATATGTGTTAGGAATTCAGTGTTTTTATTTTTATTTATCCTAACTTTTTTTTCCTATATATTAGTAGTTACTTTTGCTACAAATTTTTGGTGCATATCTTTTATCAGTATGAAGATACAAGTTTTTATTTCTGTATTTCTGAGAAATTTGAATTTGCTTTGAATGGAAGTGTTAATTTCATTAAATGTTCTCCATTATAACTAGGCTCTCCCATGGTTTTGTTATTGCTGTGTGTAACATGAATTATACTAACTACCCTTACTCATGAACTGCCTGCATCTAGACACCATGCATGGCCTTTTCTGTTTTCTGCTTCAGTGTGCTTTGTCTTGGTATGCATCCTACACTGTGCTGTGGCTCACCCTGTGCCTGTCCTTTCTCCTGCTTGTCCTGTCAGGTGCCTAATTATACCTCAGCTACATTGATGTACACGTTTTTGTTTGCTTAAAAGACTGTTAAAATACTACTCAGAAATTTGGTCTCTCCTTTTTAATCCCAGCGAGTTTTAAGCATAAAAGGCAGTGTGTCAAGACTAGAGTTTCTGTTTTACTCTGATTTGTAACATCATAGCTCTGTTCTCTAAAGTCCACATTGTGTTTCTAAGCCTGTGCTCATTTCATTCTGTTTTATAGCAATGTACTGGTATAACTATGAAATCTTAAAGAAGTGGTTGTGTGAGAAGTCTGGTTTATATGAACCGACATTTATGATCAACTTTACTTCAGGGGCATTGTCTGGTTCTGTAAGTTGTTATTTTTTTGTTTGTTTTGTTTTTGTTGTTGTTACTATCCCAGAAAATTACTAATTAGCATTAAAACAGAAGATGATCTTATGTAGCATTTCATGCATATTGAGAGGATACTTTTTTCTTGTTTTCAGAAAATACATTATTAGACATCAAAATATTTACAAGTGTACTTTTTATGTTTTTATTTTACACACATTCATTTTTGAACAAGCTTGTGTTGATTAGATATGTACAGCTATCATCACAATTGTGTGGGCCAGCACTTTTTTCTTACAGAGCATTTTACAGTACATTACTTCAACAAATGCTACGAGATGTGGTTAGCTAATAGCCATGGAATTTTGTCTCCTATGTAGCACCAAATCAAACAGATGTTCTAGCATCAGCTGTGGTGGTTCTTTGGAAACATTTGGCTGTTTAGAAATTTCTAAAGGAATTCTGAGAGACATTGAAACCAGAAGGGGAGAATCACAAAGGATTGTTTTGAGGAACAGGAAGCTTGCCCTTCCTCATCCTCCACATGGCACAGGTGCATCTCACCATCACCTTGGCCATAAAGAGTTCACATAGATACACATACTTCCAAAAGTAACCTGTGATCATTCACTTCATAACACAGAAAGATTGTAGTTAGAGAGCAACAAGACTAAGTCAGCAGAGTGCTCCAGAGGTGGAGCAGGAGGACCTTGGGTTCAGGGCCATGATGATGTCCTGTGTCTTTAAGAAAAACAAGTAAGACCTAAAGGACTGAATGGAGAAGCAGACAGTTGCAGGAAAATTGGAACAATATGCCAGAAAAACCTAGGATAAGACAACTGGTACTAGACATGCAGAAATTAGAAAACAGGTTCAGATCTTTGTCAGTTTAGCTAGCAGTAAACACAGAGGTAAAAATAAATAGCATTGAATGATGGCTTCAGGAATAGGAAAAACTCCAGTTTAATGTTGCTACTGAAAATAAATTGTTAATTTTTAATCTAGAGATTATTGCCAGCATTAACAACTTCCAAATAAAGATTTGTCTGTGCAATGGAAAAAGCACAGTAGCAGCCTGTTGTTTCTTGACTGTGGAGATGAGAAAATGGTAATTAATGTTTTCATATTATCTACAATCTTTGCAACTGATTTCAAGAACAGCACATTGTTGAGATGAAATAAACTGTGATTTTTTTTAAAGAGGCATTATCTTTTTAAATATTACTTAAAGCGGCATAAAAAAGTATTAAATTACATCACCTTGAGAAGAGTTTAGAAAATGTGATTTTTGAGCCATTGCAAGTATAAACTCCATTAAAAGGTATACAGAAACTAAAAGTTTGAAGTATATTTTTATTGGCTTTTAAATTTAATTTTTCTAATATTTGGAAAATGTTTGCAAGGCAAGACTTAGCTATGTGAGACCCCCACAACTACCCCCATATCCACACTGACAATATATAGTAAAATAGTATTCTTTGACACAGGAGTATCAGAAGTTATAAACACTGGTTAGAATGCCACACAGGGCTGATTCTGTCTTTCCCATTGGCAGCCATGGTCTCAGGAAGGAAAACAGGGACTTTTCTGAGGCAGTTTACTGTGGGACTTCATAATGAATCGTTGAGATGTAACCTGTTTTCATCAATAAAGACTTTAAGTGTATCTGGTTTATTTTAGATTTCAGTTTGTGATTTTGTCATCCATATTAAATAATGTGCTAATGCATTTTAAAGGTATTTCTAAATTAAGAATCTATTTATTTTATTTTTTGGTAGTTTGCAGCTGTTGCAACTTTACCATTTGATGTGGTGAAAACACAGAAGCAGACACAACTTTGGACGTATGAAAGTGGAAAGTGTGAGTTTAATTTAAAGCATTTTAAGATGCCGTTGTTTCCCTTATGTGATTTTGTTAGGGATACATAAAATCAGGAAACACTATTGTCTTTTTTAGAACTTATTCCTCTTCAATGAAACTGATAAAGAAAAATACTAAGAAAATTGTAGAAATCTTAAAGCCTGCTTCCTATCTGCCATCATTTAAGTCTCTTAACTGCTATGAAGAAAAAAAGGTTACTTTTATCATGAAAAGCTACATTGTTATAGTTTTTCATGTAGTTTATTTTCAAATCTGTTTCAAATTTATATTTTTACTTACCATTGTAAGTATTCTTTGAAATAAATCAATAAAATAAATCTAGACAAATCAATATAAATGACTAAAAACTGGCCATCCAGGGCTACCTCATGGTAAGACTTTGTCTCCCAAAAAGATAGTAGGAAATTACTGAGGAACTTTTTCTCATGGAATTGATGCTTAGCTGCCTTATTCTTACTATTTTTCCTTACCCGTTTCTTTATTTTCTTACTTCTTTGTAACCTGTAATTTCTTCTGTAAATTCTTCTACCAGACCCCACCACACATACCATCATTTATTTTGGTTTAAAAGTCTAGCAAGCCTGGCTGTGATTGTGCATGCCTGTAATCACAGCATTTGGAAGGTTTAGCAGGATCATGAGTTCAAAACCATCCCAGTGTACATGGTGAGACCCATCTGGACAAGAGGGGGAGATGAGATGAGAAGAAAAGGAAAACAACGATTGTGTGTGTGTGTGTGTGTGTGTGTGTGTGTGATATATATATCAGGCCTATGAATGCTTTGTAAGCTTCATGATGGCTAATTAGAATGTAGATAATACTTTCTAACATGCAATTATTTTAATAGAGTTGGCATTATAATAGTAAAGAAATGTTGTTTATAGACTTCTATAGTTTAATCTGAATATCTTTATCTTTGACCTGCTAAATACTAATAAATATTAGACACTAACAAAGCCTGTGAAGTAATTATAGTTTATTCTCTCAGTTTCTCTTTTCTCTGTATGAGCCTTCAACTGCCTAAGCAACGTCTTTCCTTTGATAGCTTAGAATTATTTTGTTTCCTTCTTCTTTCTCATCAAAATACGTTTCACCCATTAAGTGTCTTTGGTCAGAGTATTCTGTCTGGTGTAATTTCTCATAAGCAGCATGCTTGTGGCTTTGGTGCTGAGACTGAGACAAGGAAGCCATCTTTTTCAGTAGGTTGAAATCTTACCTGTTAGTCTTCCTTTCTCATCAGTGCCTCTTTTAGCTCACAATGGGGAACCTTACAGAAGAGCTGAGTTTTCATTTGCTATGACTTGCATTTCACTTTGACCTATTACTCCACTTGAGTGACTGAATGTTTACCACTCTATCAAGATACATATGGGTTGCAAAGTTATACAGTAAATAGCCTGAAACTGTTTTGTATAATATATCTTTTGTATTTTACATTATTTATTCCCCCCCATAACTTTGCTCTGTTTTGAAATGACTTAGTTTATCTTTAAGTGTCTTAATTACTTTTTTGTTGCAGTGACAAAACACCATGACCATGGCAACTTTAGTGGGGGATTGGAGTTTCAGAGGTTGAGTTCATGACTGTCATGGCAGCAGGTAGGCAGGCATGGGCTACAGTGCTAGATGAGAGCTCACGTCTGAGGCACACAAGAAGCAGTGTAATGGTGGAGCCCAGTGACTCACCTCCAACAACAAGGCCACACCTAACCCTTCCCAAATAATCCACCACCTGAGAACTAAGGAGTCAAATACATGGGCCTAAGGGGCCATTCTCATTCATCCACCACAGTAGGCATAAAAGAAAGTGAACTTGCTGCGTATGGAACGTTATGTCATTCTTCATCTACTACTTAGTTACTGAATGTCTACTCTGGCTTGGGAACCAGGCAGCAGTGCACCAATAAATGAGATACTCAAAAACCTGCCAGACAGCAGGGAATATTCAGAAGCACTAAGGTGTAGTAAGTGCCAATTCTATAACATTTACCTCATCTGTGAATGCATCATTTTTATTTGATTTTTTTAAAATGTGGGCCACTAAGATTGTTCAGCAACCAAGGTACTTGCCACCAAGCCTGGTGACCTGAGTTTAGTACCCAGGTCCCACTGAGTGGAAGGAGAGAACTGACTCAACAAGTTGTACTCTGATCTCCACATGTTCGCCATGGTTCATATTCACAAATGTGCAAATTAATTAAATTTTTAACCACGTGATGCTTAGCTTCACCATTTTAAACTTGACCCAAATTTGTCTGTTTTCTAGAGGTTAAGTTTCTCCAAACATATTTGATAACTTAAAATATTATTTAAATTGTTAATTATTTTAATTATTGATTTAAGAAATATTTAGGGAATTAATACATTCTGGTAATTTTTGTATTTTGGCATCATTTTTGCCTTAAAATTATTTAGCCAGTAACTTGAGTGGTGGCACATTTTTATAATTCTGGGAACTTGGGAGGCTGATGCAGGAGGATCTTGAGTTGAAGCCTAGCTGCCTACATAGTAAGACTTTTGTTTTTTTTTTTTTTTTTTTTTTTTTTTTAGTAAGAGCCATGAGAGGAGGAAAGTTGGTTTGGAGTCTTGAGAACAGCCCTTCCTGTGTGGTCTGGCTTCTATCTTTTCACCTCCAGGATCTGTTTCTTCACTACTGATGTGAATTTTATCTTGTCAGCATATTGTTAAGTCTTGGATTTTCGTTAGAATCTGGTCATCTAGTCTATAGTTGAAATAGGCATTTTTTATAGAGGATATTTTTCTGTAATCTTTCCCTTTTTGTCCAGCATTTGAATGACAGGGCCCAGTTAGTGAAACTATTTGGAAAGGATTTCGAGTATGGTGTTGTCGGAAAAAGTTGGATAGGGCGTATCAGTGGGGCTGGGCTTTAAGGCATAAAAAGTCCAGGCCAGGGCTGTTGTTTCCTTTCTGCCAGCTGCCTGAGAATCCGGATGTAAAGCTCCCAGCTACTGTTCCAACACCATGCCTGTCTGCTTCCCACCATGATGGTCATGGGCTAACTCCAAAATTGTAAGGAAGCCCAAGAATTGTCTTGTTCATGGTATTCCTTCACAGCAGTAGAATAAGAGCTAAGAACAGGTCTGTAATACAGATTGTTAAGTTGTGTTTTATGGTCATATTTTTTTTTTCTTTTAACATTTATAGTTCCTGTGCCTTTGCATTTGTCAACCTGGGCCATAATGAAGAACATTGTTGCTGAAAATGGATTTTCCGGGTTGTTTACAGGTAAAAATCCTTGTTTTACAGTCTTCAGACATATTCGTTGGTTTTAAATATTCCATAATTAACTTTTAGGAAGAAGTTATAGGTAACATTTATATCTACTATTTTCTCCTAAATATTATTATAGTAGATTCATTGTTATAAGGAAAATTTGAATTTTGGAGACAGCAGTTTGTTCTATTCTTTGCTACCTATTTATGATATGAAATTTGGTATTGCAGTTTACTTAATTTGGTCATTATGTGACGCCATGATACATTTTTTTAAAAAAAGGTAAAGTGTGTGTATTGTTTTCCTATTCTCTTTTCAGGTCTAATTCCTCGATTAATTAAAATTGCTCCTGCTTGTGCCATTATGATCAGCACATATGAATTTGGAAAAGCTTTTTTCCAGAAACAAAATGTTGAAAGGCAGTAATTCTCTGGATGGACTTTTTGATTAGAAATGTCAACCAAAGTCAAGTAAGATGAAGATGAATAGGCAAGATGGATTTTTCAACATTATTCTCTTACAGTGTGACTTTCTGTTTTCTCTATAATTTAAATGAATAATAATTTTTAATCTACCTCTAAACCATAATCCTAGTTTTAATTTTTTGAGATTTTTAAAAGCATAATCCAGAAGCTGCAGCCATTTCATACTCTTGCAGAAGAAACTGCTCCTTAGTAGAAAATAAGGTTCTGAGTGCATGCAGCATTTCATATTTCAGTATAAGTTAACCTGTGGATTATGAACTGAATGATGCAGTGTAGAGAATGGAGTTTAGTCTCACACACAGTCAGACCACACACCTTGGCATTTCAGTAGAGACACCCCAGATGGTAGCTGATAACTTCCTTAATTCAAGTGCATGGTGTTCCCTCACTCCTGCTACTACTTTAAGGCCTCCTGTAGCTTGGAATTTCCCTGATGAAAGGTATAAGCACTTTATCTGTACAAACCAAAGTATAATCATTTACATGCTGTGGCTCAACATTGTAAGGCTACCAATCCTTACCTAATGTTTCTGTTGGGAGCATATTTTCACTAATGATAGTAAATGTATACTCACTCAAATTTGGTTATGCAGTAGAAAACCATGCTGTACATAGACTAGTGAAAATAAACAGTTTGGGGCATGGGAATATGCTTTTTTACCTAGCTTATTTTCCAAGTGTCATTGTTCTTTAGGTCATTTCTACAAATTTTTTCTAATAAAATCAACATGCTCTAATCTAAAAGACCAAAATATAAAACAATCCAAAAATTTCAACTCTTTTGTGTAATATCCCCAATTGCTGCTGCTATAAGTGGAAACCCCCACACCTTCCCTTGGGTGACAGCATACAGAATGTAGGCACATAGAAACATGCATACATTGCCTTCGGGCTGTTTGTATATTGTACATGAGACACATGAGTGTATTTATCACTAGGTAGGACTCAGGTTTTTAGAAATTAGATGTATTTGTGTTTTGTATATATGTTTTGTCTGTATGAAGGTCAGGGGAAAACTTTCAGGAGTTAGTTCTCTCCCTCCTTCCACCTTGTGGGTCTTGGGATTTGAACTGAGGTCTCCAGGCTTAGCAGCAAGTGCCTTTACCCACTGAGCCATCCTAGTGGCCCAGGAATGAGATTTTTAAGTATGATTGGAATGTAGCTCAGGGGTAGAACACTTGCCTTTGGAATGTGAAACTCTTGAGTTTGATCTCTAGCACAGATGAGAAATAATTTAAATAAATAAATGAGATGGCAATGCAAGAAATGCTATTCTGTTTTACTTACCCCAGTAAAGCAAAGAGCACTTTATTACATTCTGTGTGCATTCTATGAAATATGAAGTATCCCCTCCCTGCCCCAACAGCATAATGTGTTTGGTGACAGTAAACTCTAGTGTTGGTAGAAGAACAAATGCATAGTAGAAAGTATACTTTTCACCAGAAATAAAAGTTACAGTGTTTATTATATCATGGTGTTTTACATTATAATCCTGTGTTGATTTACATTAAAATTTTAATATTTCCATATATGTATTTGTCATTTTTTTTATTGAAGTATTTTATGCTGCTTAAAAGCACCACTGTTCTTCTTGGCAATGGTTTTCATATTCAATCACTATATAATGCTGTGAAACACATACATGAAAATATATTATTAAACTTAACATTTACCTCCGTTTTGTTATATTTCTTCTTGTGGTTAGAAAAGGGCAAGAAACTGACCACAGAAAATATTTAAAATAGTGTCACCTGTTATGTGAAAAGTTCCCCTGTACCCCTTAGTACTGTACTTTCAAAAAATGATTATGACACAATCAGTTAAATAAATCTAATTTTACAGTAGTGTTTGTAACATATTACATGCAGTGTAGCTAGAGGAACTGGAGAGATGGCTCAGTTGAGATAGCTGCTCTTCCAGAGGACCTGGGTTCAATTCCCAGCATCCACATGGAGGGTTGAAACTGTCTGTAATTTCAGTTCCAGGGGATCCACTGGCTCCCATGGGCATTGTACACACATGGTGTACATATGTGTAGGCAAAACATACACAATAAAATTTTTAAAAGAAATATAAATTTGAAATTGTCTCTACATTTAACTCATAAAGAAGCATTAACACTTTAAAAATACCCTCTTTTTTTTTTGTATTGTAGGAGTATTTGGGTAAACTTGGTCCATGAGGTAGCTAAAATAATTATTACACTTTCAATTTTTTTCTAAAAGTTTTGTCTTTTAAAATATTGGAACCATTATTGGCATGAATGAAATAGCCTCAGATATCACAATAATAGACAAGCTAAGCTTTTGACTAGGTGTGTGCCTTGGGGTTTTAAGGCACATGCTATAGGATTTGCTGTGTTTGCAAGCATAGTTTATACTTGTGTTCGTCATGATGTGATTGGCTGTTGTGTCTGAATGTGACATGTCCCCCAAAGGCTCAAATGTTTGAACACTCAGTCCCCAGTTGGTGGCCTTGGCTTAGAAGGTGTGGATCCTTTAGGAGCTAGAACCTTGATGGAGAAAGTGAGTCACTGTGGGTGGGGCTTCATGTGTGATAAGCTGGTACCAATCCCTGTCAGTCTTTCTCCTGCTCGGCAGTGTTGTATAATCAGCCTCCCTCTCAGTCTTGCAGCTACCATGGTACACTATATCCCTAGGAAATTGCACAGTGGACCCGTCTCTCAGGTTGCTACTTCTCAGGGATTTGGACACAACAGCAATGTTAGTGATGGTTATAAAGGACACAGTTTTCCAGGTTTAATGTTAAGTGTTAAGTTCTCATATACTTTATTACTTAAATGTTCTGTTTTCAAAGAAATGTATAGAATATTCTGGTATTACAACCTTTAACACATACACATTAACCTAATATACATTTGGCCTTTTACAAGAAGTAGGTATGGAGTAAAATTCAATTTTTATTCCTAAAATATACTCTTTTTGCTTATTTAACTGCATATGACTCCTATAAATTTTTCTCTCCATTTTTCTTGGGCACACATTCAGGGATATATGGAACTTTTGTTCAGTATATAAGTTTACATTTTTCCAAAATAAACTTTTTAAAATTAAAGACTATTGCTTTTATTTGTTAATCTGTCAACATTAATTAAGACGTTTTAGGTCTGGAAGATAGCTCAGTGGGTACAGGTGCTTGTCACCAGGCCTAACAAACCAAGTTCAATCCCCAGGTTCCACATAGTAGAAGAGAATCAGTTCTGACCTTTACATGCATATGTTGGAAAAGAAGACATGTTGGAAATTGTCCATCTTAGAGGAGATTTCAGAGGTATAGTTGGAAGAATTATGTTGAATAAATTATGGCAAATTAGAAGAACTAATCCTGAGGCAGAGAAAAAGTGACAAAAGTCAATAGCCATGGCATTTAGTCCACGTGGCTTGAGCAGTGCTTCTGCATGGGAACACTGCTGGGAGCTCAGACTGGAAATGTGGCCAGACTCATGTATGTCAGAGGAGAGACAAGACTGTAGGAAGCTGGGGCCTTATGGAGCAGCTATAAATTGGAAATAAGACTAAAAGCATGGAAAGTAGAATTTATATCTGAAAACAATTTTCAAGTCTTTATTTGTCATTAAAATATGACCTAGTAGCAAAGGTACAAATTTGTTGCCTTTGTGAATTAAAAAGAACAAATGCTAAGGCTGATTTTTTTCTGTTGTTGAGAGCAAAAGAAACTGACTTAATTTTTTTTTTTTTTTTTTTTTTCCTTTTTGAGAGTTCTGAGGCTCAAGCTCATCTTGAACTGTGTGGTAGCCTAGCACATTCTATACATTTTACCTGTGGCTAGGGACATTAGCAAAGAGCTCAGTAAATAGCAGATTTGAGATACACTGATAATGACTTGAAAATGTGGATCAAAACCTAGAGTGACAGAAACTGATTTTTTTTTTAATTCTCCAGCTTTTTTAAACTCCTTCCAGCTTGTATTTTTTACAGTGATAACTTGTGAAAGTGATCAGACTCAAAATTAATAGCTTATATCAACCCTCACCAAAATAAAAAGGCTGAGGTTATGAAAGAAGGGTTCTTTTTTTTTTTATTTAATTTTATATAACAAAGTCCAATTAAATGAAAACAAACATTTATACACAATATTTGGGAATTTGGGCGTCGTTCTTTCCAAACTACTTCCTGCTGGTAAGGGGCGCTGTCTTGGGGGATTCGAAGAAGATTCAGATATCCTAGCTGTAGTCTGTAGGGCTGTTTTGTCCAGCTGTTTGGAATGTAGGATCAGCTTGTACTCTGTTTCAGGCGGTCTGGTGTGATCAAACCACATTAGTCTGGAAGGAATCCACATCTTTTCATTTTCTGTGGAAACAAAAATAGAAATACTTTTCCCCAGTAACTTGTTCTTCAACTTAAATTTTGGAGTCAAAGCGTTTTTTTTTTTTTTTTTTTTTTTTTTTTTTTTAATTTATTATTTTACATGTCGATCCCAGTTCCCTCTCCCTCCCTCCCTCCCTCCCCTCAGCCCTCCCTCCCTCCTTCCCTCCCTTTTGCCCTCTCTACCCTCTCCCATGCACTCTAAACACCCTCCCCTCCCAACCCCCCACCACAATACCATATGTAGGGGAATGCCATCCAGTTGGGGTCATGTAGATCTGACAGGTCCTGTGAAGTAGGGACTAGGGCTTCTCTCCTATCTCATAGGCAGCTGATAACTTATATAAAAGAACCATGGCCTTACAAAAATACTCCACAATGACATCTGCCCAGCACTGTAAGGAGTACAGGTTTTTCCGCCCGCCGTCTGGTCTTGTCCCGCCACCAAGCCAGCCCCAAATAACACATAGAGACTCTGTATTTGATATTATACTGTTGGCCAGGTGCTAGTTTCTAATCGGCTAGCTCTGTCTTAAGTATTAGCCCATTTCTGCTGATCTATGTATTTTCACATGGCCTTCTCTTACCGGGGAGGCGGCTGGCGTCCAGCTCTCTCCAGACTCTCCATCTTGACTCCTCTTTACTACTTCCTATTTCCTCCTTGTCTCCTAGTCCCTCCTATCTTCCTTTCCTATTGGCCAACAGTGCTTTATTATTAACCAGTATGAGAAACATATATACATAATGGCATCTCCCATCATCTCCTCTTTTCTGTCTAAATAAAAAGAAGTGTTTTAACCTTAACATAGCAAAATATATCACATAACAGTTATCCAATAAGAATCACAGTTAACAATATTTAGTCCATTAACATTTAGTAAGATTTAAGAAAATATTTCATCATCTATTTTATCTTGTGAGTCTAAAGTCCTATATGTACCTTATCATTGAATCCTAAGGAAAACTATAACCATAACTATCTGTCTTCAACTCCTTTAAAGACCACAGAAGGATAGTATATAAACTCTAGAAATGACAGAGACATCTTGCCTTGTCAGTCACCTGAAGTTCTTCTGTAATCTTCCATCTTCAGCCCATAGGCCATAGTGTGTCTGGCAGACTCTTCAGCAAAGCAGGAAACTTTAAACTGTCTTCTTGTATTGGCAGTTTGTCAGTCACTTTTCTCTGTGTCCTGTAGATTCTTCCATGAAGCAGGAACTCTGTAGCAATGTCCATCTTGAATCAGCAATCACTTTTCTGTGGGTCCTGCATGTCCAGTTTATACATCACAAAGTCAAACAGTCCAGACAAGAGCAGTATCTTGTCCAAATGGCTAGTCTTGCCATATTGGAAGCAAACTCCAAAATGAGTTTCTTCAATGTCCATCTTCTTTTCTGGTGCAGGTGGTATTGCCAAGAACAATTATGTCTCACTGTCACGAAAACCCTAAACCATTTTAAATGCCATATTCTGTAGGTCTTTGAAAGGTTTAAAGAATGCCTATCTATCTCAAATACATCTCTGTGTATCTTGAAAAACCTAACTAACTTAACTCTAAACTTTGACTATCATAGATAATTATCTATTATCTGTACTACATTATACATTTCTAAATGAGCTATATAAACACAATACCTAAACAAAAGGAGAAATATACATCTCACAAAATTGACATTAAATTGTATCAATAAATGAAAATCCATTCCAATACAAAGTATCCATATCTATACCATAATTCCCTTTTTACCTTTAAAAAGAATATTGGTTGTGATCATTAACCATTTATAACCAAGTCCATTTAAATGAAAACAAACATTTATAAACAATATTTGGGAATTTGGGCGTAGTTCTTTCCAAACTACTTCCTGCTGGTAAAGGGCGCTGTCATGGGGGAATCCTAAGAAGACGCAGGAATCCTGGCTGTAGTCTGCAAGTCTGCCTTGTTCAAGCTGTTTTGAATGTTGGATCATCAGGAACTCTGTTTCAGGGGGTCTGGCTTGCTCAAACCACATTAGTCTGGAAGGAATCCATAGCTTTTTATTTTCTGTGGAAACAAAAATAGAAATCCTTTTCCCCAGTAACTTGTCCTTGAACTTAAATGTTGGAGTCAAAGCATTTTTAAAATATATAAATTGAATTAATCCAGCAGCATTTCCTTTATCAGTTGTTGTTATTTTCTCA